CCTGCTTCTGACTCCTTTCTAAAGTTGCTGCTCACTGTGGTTTTTAGGAGTTTTAGTTTGAGGCAGGTAAGACATACTTTCCCAGTTGCTCTCGCAGAGGTCAGATTCATTTCATTTTGATTCTAGTTAAGGGGAGGTGTGGGAATTTAAAAAAAGAGAGAGAGAGGTGTTACAGATTATAAAATCTTATCTTTTTTTTTACAATAACATCTTGATCTCTAACATTGGTTCTCAAACTTGGTAAATATCAGAATCATCTAGAGGGCTTGTTAAGACAGATTTCTGGGTCCTGCTCTCAGAGTTGCTGATTAAGTAGTTTTGGGGTGAGGCTTGAAGATTTGCCCTTTTTTTTTTTTTTTTTTTTTTTTTTTTTTTTTTTTTTTTTTTTTTTTGAGACGGAGTCTTACTCTGTTGCCCAGGCTGGAGTGTGTAGTGGCAGGATCTCGGCTCACTGCAACCTCTGTCTCCTGGGTTCAACCAATTCTCCTGCCTCAACCTCCCGAGTAGCTGGGATTATAGGCATGTGCCACCACGCCCAGCTAATTTTTGTATTTTTAGTAGAGATAGGGTTTTGCCATGTTGGCCAGGCTTGTCTTGAACTCCTGACCTCAGATGATCTGCCTGCCTCAGCCTCCCAAAGTGCTAGGACTACAGGCGTGAGCCACCGCGCCAGGCCGAAGATTTGCTTTTTTAACACATTCTCCTCTGTCTCTGGAGCACTCAATCTTCTTTGCCCACATTATAGCCCTTAATTATTTTATTATTGTTTTGTATGTTGATTTTGAATCCCTTTTTCTAGTTTTTTAACAGAAAATATAGGATTTAAATCCTCTGGCATTTATCCTACTTACTGAACACGTGGTTAGTACTTTGTATTGGTTAACCTATTAAAATATTTGCCAAGTAAACTTTTTAATATTTCATCCTCCAATGTGCAATGTTTTTTAAAAACTTTTTTTCTTTTCTAGGTATTTAATACAAGGCTGTTTAAAATCAAAGAAAGACACTTGTTTCTTACCTATTTAGGAAGAGCACAGTATGATCCAGCAAAACCTAACTACATCTCTTTGGACAAACTCGTATCTATTCCTGATGAAATATTTTGTGAAGAGATTGCCAAAGCATCAGTACAAGACTTTGATAAATTCTTAAAAACGCTTTAGATTTTTATGTATGTGAAAATGCAATATTGTAAAGTGAATATATGTATGAATAAATGAATATATTTTTAAATGCCTCGGGTCTCAACTGATATTGGAAACCATTTGATACTGTAAATTTGGGTACATATACTGTGGTAGATTTTTCATCAAGTTCCTAGTGACTCAATTCTTGTTTACCTTTTCCTTCTTAGAAAATACAGCAAGTTCAGAGAAAGGGAGAGAGTTGGTTTACTTTAAGTTGGTGCTTTGTCATTCTAGTGAAGATGAAAACGGAGGATTTTTAAGGTGGTTTCATTATAAAATGGCTTTATTTCATTTGAACTGTTACAAGTTTCCAGAGTACATACTACATTAGTCATCTAATATCTACAGCTCAGATAATGCCACAAAGCACACTTCATTTTGGATTATCTACATTGTTAACTTCTTGAACACAGATATTCACAGTTGGCTAAGAATCAGGAAAAGGAAAGTGGAGTTTAAAGATTAGGGGCAATGAGATATAGTGAAAGGCTTAACTAGCCTTTGACTTATTGCCAGTAAACAAAGATTTGTTTTCTGTTTATGACGTGTTATCCTGGGCAAGTGATTTCATGTCTGAGTCTTTGCTTTTTTATTTGTAAAATGAAGTATCACAACTTCAGTTGTCTGCGTTATGATCACCAGATTGGGTAGACTGTTAACACTGGTAACCCCCATGAACCACACCTGGTATTTGCACTGTTGTGTAGTTAGTCCTCTCCCACACTGACTCTGGGCCAATGTGATGTGGCCCAGGGGACATTTGTCAAGCACAGGCTTGATAAGAATTTGCACATCAGGGCTTGCCCTCTTGGAACATTTGCTCTTGGCACCCTAAGCTACGGTATAGAGAGGTCTGGTTACTCTGCTGGAGAAACTAGGTGGAGAGAAAGATGTCTGTCCAAACCCCAGCTTTTTCAGCCATGCCAACTGAGTACCAGACATGCATGAAGAAGTTATCTGGGATGTCCCAGCCTTAGCAGACACTACACTAAGCAGAACAACCCAGCTGAATTCAGAATTGGGAGAAAGTGAGTCACTAACTTTCGGGGTAGTTTGTTGTGCTGAGGGTTTTGTGGTATGCTGGATGCCCTTCAAAAAACCTCATGAAAAACTAAATTTGTAATTGGTCAGGGCCAGGTATAGTGGCTTTCCTGTTACATATTTTATTCATGCAACTGACATTTGAGTTCCTAGAATACAGTGGTGAGTGTGACATAGATAGGTGCTTTCATGGAGTTCTCCAATGGATGAGATCAACAAACAGGAAACAATAAAAAATAAGCTGGGGACACCATGGAACCATCCTGTCCTCTCTTTGTATGGCTCACAACCGCATTTTGCCTTTATGAATAACCCACTGAACAACCTTAGTCAGAATAGGCAAGTCGTGCTGATACAATGAACAATCCTAAAACCTCAAATGATTGAAAAACCACAAAAGGTTTTTATCTTATACATATCTCTTAGGACCACAAAGGCTCTGCTCCACATCATCTTTAGTGATACAGGTTGATGTATCCTGTCTCCATCATTTCTGGAGTGTTACCAGTCTATGGAAAAGGAAAGGAATGTGAAGAATTGCTCTTAAAAAGTTATCACATTTTTCTTGGCTAAAGTGTCACATGGCCATACCTAACTTGGAGGGCAGAGAAAGGCAATCCCTAATCCTGTGCTGGGAGGAAAGAAAACCAAAATTAGTTTTTGAATCAACATTAATGACTACCAGCAAACATTCAGTCTCTAGCTTAATTCCTTAGGAGCTGGATTTTGTGACAATTTTGGGTTTCTGATCTTTTGATATGTCTTTTCTTGTCATCTTCACCTGTAACCAGCAAGCTAAAACATAAAGGGTAGAAGGGAGGAGAGTTTATTGAGTACCTACCCTCTGCAGGGCAATGTGCCAATGTACATATGTATTGCATTTCTCCACATCTTTCAGACTTCACTTTGGCTAGTGTAAGATAGAAGAGATCATTCATCAGCTTTAGTGCTGCATACAGGACTGACTAATAGAAGAATTGTAGCAGCATGGAGATAGAAGAAAAAGGAAAATCAATAGAATCTTAAAACTGGAATGTGACTAAGATCATTAAATCTAACCTTTTGAACTTACGACGAGACAAGGTTCTATTCTATATTGTCCCAGCTCTGAGCTTAAAACTGAGGGGAAAAAAGATATCACCGAGTAATGGTAGAAGTTCACCAGTAACTATCAGTCATGCCAGTTCCCCCCAATTGTTTTCTGTCTCTAGATGTTTATGCCTAAGCCTTCACATGTTGGGGCTGAGACCTTAAAAGTTAGCAAATCTATATACTTCTCTTTTGTCTTTAAATTATGTGCAAATTCTGCAATACATCTTAGATTTAATCTTTAAAAACCTTTTCTTCTGGGCGTGATGGCTCACGCCTGTAATCCAGTATTTTGGGAGGCCGACGTGGGTGCATCACTTGAGGTCAAGAGTTTGATACCAGCCTGGCCAACACGGTGAAACCCCGTCTCTACTAAAAATACAAAAATTAGCGAGCATGGTGGCATGTACATCTGTAGTCTCAGCTACTCAGGAGGCTGAGGCACGAATCGTTTGAACCCTGGAGGCAGAAGTTGCAGTGAGCCAAGATTGTGCCATTCAGCCTGGGTGATAGAGGCTGAACAACAAAAAAAGAGGTGACCAAAAAAAAAAAAAAAAAACCAACCAACCAAACAAACGAAAAACCCAAAACCTTTTCTGACCTAACCTTCCACTAAAATAGCTAGATGTAGATCTTCAGCTGGAGAAACCCAAGGCCTGAAAGGCTTGGTGTCTTTCCTGGATTAGTAGTGTTGCATATGGCCCTAGAATTAAGGAGCCCCAAGTTTGCATCTGGATTTTCAGATTCTGGAAGAAGAACCTGGACTCTTCTAGTCATGTCCTCTTGGACAAGTTATTCAACCTTTCTGAGCCTCAGCTTTCTCCTATCTACAATGAGATAATGACAGTACTTTTAGAATTAAATGACAGTGTAGGGGAGTGAGAGATCACCCCTTGGCTCTTCTGTGGGCTCTTTGGTTGGATCTAGGAACCAAATTGACACAAGACAGATTAACAAGAGAAAAGCATACTAATTTTACTAGTTTTACATGCGCATGGGGATCCTCACAAGAGAGTGAAGTGGCCAATGTAAGATGCCTTTATACTTTTTACACGAACTACAAATTAGAAGAAAGGGGATCTGGCTAGGGGCAGTGAATTTCTTGAGGAGTCATTAGGAGAAACGTGGGTGTGGTGGGGTGTAAACTTAGTGGAAGATAAGGGTTATTTCGGAAGGTATATTCAGGTCCAAAGCAGCTCCCAGTTTCCAGTCTCTGGTGATGGGTGCTATTTTCTCCCTCTGGTAAGGGACGGGTACTCCGGAGGAATCCTGGAGGAAGCTTTACGGCTTGTTGCATGCAGGAAGAGATGGGTCATCAAACCCTTTCTGAAACTACAATTTCTCCAACATTTTCTACTCGAAATAATCAGTGTACCAATTCCATATATTTTTGGGATGGCGCATCCATCAGTCCTTCAATAGAAAATAAGACGATGCTCTTAAAACATTTAGCTTCCTGCCTGGCACAAAGAGCTGAATTCATACTGCCCACGCTCTCATAGCTATTAACAGCAAGTAACAGAACCCAGCTTTAAGCCTCGGTCTCCTAATTCCTAACCTATGTTCTTCCCATCACATCACAACCAATACTTCTTGGAATGTAGCACGCAAAATGCCCCGCCTACTCCATTGGCCTCACCCTGGCGGAGAAGTGCACACGCAGGAGCTCAAAGACAGCCGTCAGAACTGCGCCTGCGCAAGCGGCGTTTCTCGGTTCGCGATGTGGCGTAACGCGCCTGCGGACTGGGCCCAGCGTGTCCTCTATGACTTACCCAGAAGGCAACGTTTCATTTTCTGGTCAAAATGGCTGGCAAGCAGGCGGGTAAGTGACTGGGGGGTCTTCTTGGCGGGCATCGTCGCGCTCCACCGTTTATTTTCGCTGCAGCTCGCTCCGTTTTCTCTCTTCTTTGTAAGTGACCAAGTTTGTCGCGGAAGGGAAAGTGGCGGCTTCAGTCCAGCCAAAAGGACGTGCTTCCCCACTCGTTTGTTGTTCCCAGGCCGGGCTTGCCTGTATAGGGTTGGGGTGTTAACCCGCTGTTTGTGAAGGTGCCCGCGGTGGCTCTAACAGCCCTGGAGTTCCAGCTGCCTGTGCTCGGAAGTCCTTCCCCTCGGCCTTAGAAAAGTTAAAGGTCACAAGAAGATAACTAGTGGATGACTTTCAACCAGAATGAGCTCAGTGCTTTCTTCTATGACCCAGGTGCTCTATCGTGTGCATTGGCCCTATAAATTCTCCTGCCAGTGCCACGAGGGAGATATTAATTTCCCGTTTACGCTGATAAGACAACTGAGGCAAAGTGACCCAAGGAAGTAGAATTGGAAATTTCATTGCACCCCTCGCGCTTCTCAAACTGTGAATCAGAGACAGTCTAGCAAGGGATACGAGCGACGCTTCACATTAACCTTGGATTATCTAGAACGTCAGCTTATCAGTAGGTTTGGAGAAATTTGAATTTATTGTAGGTTCAAACAAATTTATTGTGGAATAGAATGCAGATATTACTGGAATATTTAAAACAACTTGAACATTAAGTTGGGTTTCCTTGTTTTTTGTTTTTTGTTTTTTTGCTAATCTCTGCCCTCTGGCGGTACAAGTTGGAGTATCTTTTTTTTTTTTTTTTTTTGAGACGGAGTCTTGCTTTGTCGCCCAGGCTGGAGTGCAGTGGCACAATCTCGTCTCACTGCAATGCAACCATGTTGGTGTAGCTTTTAAAAAATATTGATCCTTTTCTCCCTGCCCCCAGCAATTGTGAAGCTGTTAGGAAACATCAGGTTGCCAGAAACATCCGCTAACCTAATTGACATTGAGCTTTTTGGGGGTGGGGGAGACTTTTTAAATAATTATTTTATTAATTTAGCAGATATTGAAGGAGTCTTACTAAATTCAAGACACTGATTCTGTGCGTGTTTGGGAACTACATAGACCAGATCTCAACTCCCATTAGCTAACTCTGACCTTGGGTGGGATCACTTCTGTAAGTCTGCTTCCCTTGCTGTAGTAAGAGGCATGTAAATAAATCAGCTAATGTTGGTAAAGCAAATAGGAAAGTGGTGCACAGTAAGTGTTTAGTGAATATTATTCTAGTCACTGATAGGTGGTTAAAAATAATCTGTCTTCCACAAGTATGTTTGTAGATTGTTGACTGATACTTGTTTTTCTAGCAGCAGTTTTATACATGACTCTTCATTTCCAAGGAGATGTGCTGAAGCCACGTAATCTGTAGTGCACTGAGTTTGCAGGCAAGGAGGGCTGAGTGAAAGAGAGTTTGCTTTCCTTCCTTGGTAAGGAAACGCTAGACAAAATTTTAAAAGAAAATGTAAACTTGTTCTACCTCCCCTTTTGTAAAACGCCTCTTCTAAAATGTCAGGTACGGTCCTGCTGTACTTGGACCCTGCTGGGTTACTTCATCAGACTCAGCCCTGTTCCCCAAAGAATTTTAAAATTACCCATTTCTCATCCGTTTTCAATATCTATTCCCTTGGGGGGAACTTAGTTGCTTAGGAGGAGGTAAATGGACTTCTTTCACTAATCCATATTAATGTTTAAATGACTAATGGTATCAAAATTCTCCCCAAAATACACATATTTTTAAAGAATGTAGCCAAATGAAATAACTGTAATGTCGAGTAAAATTTTTACAGGATGAGGGTCATTTAGACCTGCCAGCCTATGCTGAAATCTCACTCTCTTTTCATACAACTCCAGCTCCTTTGAAATGAAAAGTTTACAATTATTTCCTGTGATCCATTTATGAAACTACAAATGATAGAAATTTCCAAGTCCTTTTCCTATCTCTCACCCCTTCATTTCTGAAGGTAACAGGGCAGGCATAAGGGCACACGATGTACCTATGCATCTTTTGTACATTCAGTGTTTGAGTTTACCCTCTTCTTCCTTGACTTGCCACCATTTTCCTGCAGCCACTTTTGCTTATAAGTAAAATAAGCAAATTTTATCAACAGTTTATAAACTTTTTTCTTTTAAATCTAATTCTTTTTTGATTAAATTCTTGCTGTATATAGTATATACTTTTAAAAGGAAATTTCTTTATATGTTTGCATTCATCAGCAAGATAACTGAGTACTGGTTGCTTGCCCATCAGTGTGTTCATATAGTATAATTGTAGCAACTAACAGTGTGACAATGATCAGTTTCAGCATCAGGCAAGTGGCTGGATGGTATTCGAAAATGGTATTACAATGCTGCAGGATTCAATAAACTGGGTAAGCATCTGTGCTCTTTAATTTTTCTTTTTTTTCTGAGAATATTGCTTTTACAAGTGTTACTGTGGTTCCAAAAAATATTTCAGTTCTTGTATACATCAGAAGATTTTAAAATTAAATCACATTATGTTAAATCCAGTTCCTTTTTAAAATTTTTTTGAGAGGAGAGGGATGAAAGCCTCTAAAATGTTTGACTTGGTAATGATTTAAGTAGTAAGACATTTTCCTTCTACACCCCCTCTCCCAACTCTACCGCTTAAAATTTTATTTATTTGAGACAGAGTCTTGCTCTGTCACCAGGCTGGAGTGCAGTGGCGCAATCTTGGTTCACTGCAACCTCCGCCTCCCGGGTTCAAGTGATTCGCCTGCCTCAGCCTCCTGAGTAGGTGGGATTACAGGCGTGTGCCACCATGCCTGGCTAATTTTTTTTGTATGTAGTAGAGACAGGGTTTCACCATGTTAGGCTGGTGGCGAGCTCCTGACCTCAGGTGATCCACCTGCCTCTGCCTTCCAAAGTGCTGGGATTACAGGTATGCACCAGTGCGCCCGGCATTCCACTTAAAATTTTAAGTTTTATAAACACTGAAAGTAGAGATTTTTCAAATATTAAAATTTTATCATATCCATGCGATCATATGTTTCCTAAGCTTTTTTAGAACTTTGTAATTTGCCATGAACTTCATCTTTTGCTATTGAAGCTTGAAGAAAGTGTAAGCAAAAGTCACTGGTTCCTTAGTATACTATTATTTTAAGATTCATTAATACCTTGATCTCAAATTTAAACTATGAGAAAGTAGAGATGTGGTTTATTAATGTGTGTTTAAAAACAAAGTAAACATTTAAAATATTTTGTAAATGGTTTAGATAAAATATGAATTTTGTGGCATTGGATTTTAAGAGGCTCATATATTGTTTCCATAGTCTAGCTCAAGAAATAACCCGTTATATCAAGTAATAACTCATTACTTTTAATGGCAAAACCGCAATTACTTTTGCACCAACCTAATGTATGAAGTGCATTGAATTTCCTTTGAACCTAGTGATTTGAATTCGATAGTTCACCAAAAGTTGTAAGTTACAAGTCATAAAGATATTTTACTAATTTTAAAAAAACGTGATTTTTGAGATGCATGTGCTATCTAACTTTGTCGTCTATCATAGGGTTATTGCGAGATGATACAATGTACGAGGATGAAGACGTAAAAGAAGCCATAAGAAGGCTTCCTGATAACCTTTATAATGACAGGATGTTTCGAATTAAGAGGGCACTGGACCTGAACCTGAAGCATCAGATCTTGCCTAAAGAGCAGTGGACCAAATATGAAGAGGTAGCACAGCTTTATCTACCTGACAATGTTACTCATTAAGGATTGAGTTTTAGAAACGAGAAACATGTTCATTTGCATGGTGTTAGAGTTTTCTGAGTCATGTCAAATAAATATTCTGTCAATAGTTTGGTGAGGTTAATAAAGCAAATGTTATTTCCGTTTTAGAAGAAAACCACATTGACTCTTACATGTGAAATGATTCTTCTGAAATCACTAAGCAAGTCTCTAATATAGAGAGCCAGGACTAAAATCCAGGTCTGTTGCCACCCAGGTCATTGTTCTACCTCTGCACTCTGCTTCCTACTTAGATGAAAAGATCAGCCCATTGAGTGGCCCTCCAGATCCCAAGAAGAGCTTCTATGAAGCAAACTCTCACCCCTTGAACTGCATTGAAACTAGGCAAAGGCCTGTAGACACTCATTTCTTTTTCTTCCCCGAAAGACTTCCCTCTCATAACCTATCAAAGCAACTTACCACACTATCACCACAGATTTGACATTTTAAAAAGCAGATAGTTCTTAGGTTGAGAATATGTTTTCTAAAATTGGAAATTAAAAAGTAATTTTTTTTTCTTGTTATTGAAGACCTGTTGAGTGTTTGGGATATATCAGTACGCGATGGTAACATATAATATTTCATTCATTCTTTAGGAAAATTTCTACCTTGAACCGTATCTGAAAGAGGTTATTCGGGAAAGAAAAGAAAGAGAAGAATGGGCAAAGAAGTAATCATGTAGTTGAAGTCTGTGAATGCAGCTGTTATGAAGATGGTTATACTTGAAACAAACAATTTTAAGAATTATTTGGTCTGCAGATGTTTTACTTTAAATAAATGTCTATTGTAATGGCTAGAGTTTTTGAATTCCAAACCTTACACTGAATAACTACTGAATCCATTTACTGTTAAATTTTTTTCCAGACTTTCAAGATATTTTTAGTCGTGTTTAACTGCTACCTGGAGCTCAGAGGCCACTTTATCAGTTTTCCTCACTGGTTGGATAGCCTATCAGTTTATGGAAGGATATAACTTCCGTAAGTTACATCCTTGTGGAAGCTACTGAATAAAAGAAGGGGGAGTGCACCCGCTAGTTTGCCAGGATTGAGAAATAGCCTCTTCACTGCTATCCAAATAGATTTGATTTTGCATCCTATCGTTTAAAAATAAATTATGTATTCACCCCAACATAGGCATGCTTAAGTAATATATATACTCCTGTGCTAACATGTATACTAGAAAACAAAAAGTAGACATTAGAAAAATGGAAGTATAAATACAAATCATACTTGTCCCCATATCCCAGTGACTTTTCCACTTTGGAAATAATTGTTATGAAGTTTAAGGGTTGGATACTAATCAGTTAAAAGTTTTAAGATCATAGGGTAATTTTTTAAAATATAAATTAGAATCATTGGCTAGGCATGGTGAGTCATGCCTGTAATCCCAGCACTTTGGGAGACTGAGGCGGGCAGGTCACCTGAAGGAAGGAATTCGAGACCAGCCTGGCCAACACGCTGAAACCCTGTCTCTACTAAAAATATAAAAAATTAGCTAGGCGTGGTGGTAGGCACCTATAATCGCAGCTGCTCGGGAGGCTGAGGCAGAATTGCTTGACCCTGGGAGGCGGAGATTGCAGTGAGCCTAGATCACACTACTGCACTTCAGCCTGAGCGACAGTGGCTCTGTCTCCAAAAAAAAAAAAAAAAAAAGAAATTAGAATTATTTAGTGTTGTCATTTCCACTCCTAAATTCTGAAATGCTTTCTTTGGTGGAGGTGAGAGTGTGGAGCCACAGCTAGCAGAGAAGGAACAGTAGGACCTGCAGCCTCCCTGGTTTTCCAGGACAAGTCATTGCTGTGTGTGGCAGGAATGCCTTACTTCAAATAACAAAACAGTGTGAGAAACAAATTTGTGTTACATTTAAAATTTGTAAAGCAATGAGAAATGTGTGTATCATGAAGAGCATCTTCAAATTTTTGCTAAAATAGCCTCTTAAATTCCCTAGGAACCCGCTTCCCCCGCTGGTTTTTTTTTTTTTTTTTTTTTTTTTTTGCTAGTCAGATTATTTTTCTAAACCTGTCCTTAAATCATGTCAGTTTCTTTTGTCTGGTTCAAGACAACAAGATTACTTGATAATGGTTTTGCTCAAGTCACATTGTGACAAAGTTTTAATGTCCTACTTTGCAGAAGGAGGCCAAGAAGATGGGCTGTCTAGAACCCCTTTTAAAAGCATTTGTCTATTCAGAAAATTTTCCTGAATAGATGTCTCCAAAGTCTCTTTTAATTGTGATTTCAAGATCACTTTTGCAGGACTCTGGTCTATTCGTTCAGACATCTACCGTGTACGATTACAAGGAGACTAGAACTGAGGCATCTCAAGGAGTACTGTCAAGGTGTGTAGGGAGCTGGGTGGGTGGAGGGAGGCTGGGCTCTGACACTAGAAACCATGCTTATGAATGCTGTTAATGTTTAAAGCAAGCCTAAGGGCACTGCTGAAGGACAGGGGAACAAATAGAACTGACCAAGATTGAGGTATAACAGGAACCCCCAGGCTATCCACCTGCTCAAAGTAAAAAGTGTGGTATTACATAGGGCAACCTCTGATTTTGTAAGAGTTCTTCCTAAAGGCAAAGTGTATGCCTATTCTATGTTTCCAGATTACTTCATTCTTCTAAATGAGAACAAGTGTGCAAAAGTTCTTTGAACACTATATCAATGTTTTGTGTTCATTGTAAATTATGGTTATTGTCCTGCTTGTTATGAAGACTAAGAAAGTAGATCTAGTATTTGGCTCACATAGGTGAATGGGTGAGAATTTGTTAATCCATCAGTGAAGTCCTTTCATTTGAAAGAGAGAGCCTTTCTTTTATCAAAAGCTGTCCTGTGTGAAAAATCACCATGAGATTGCCGGAAACACACAGGCTTGTCCTGTAGACAGAATGATAGAGTGATTCAGAGCTAATTCTGGGTTAGACTGCACAGGTCTGAATCTTACTTGCTCACTGTGTAGTGCTTTAGGAATACAATTTAACCTCTCTGTGCTTCAGTTTGTTTGGCCCTAAGAGCTAATGATAGAAACCTACTTTACACAGTTGTGAAGATTGACTACATGTCAAGCACTAACAGTTTTTGGCACATAGTATGCATAATGTAAATTATGTGAGGAGAAGCGAGAAAAAATAACTTGGGAAAACGCTGAATATCACCAAAGTCGAATAGCTAACCAGTAGCTAAGGTCCAAGGTCTCCTCTCTTCCTTCCATGTGGCACTCTTGTTTCTGGTCCGTCTACTCCCCTTGGGTGTCACCTCCTTGAGTGAAGTACCTGCTGGAGATAAGAACAGTGGAACTGGATCTGCATGACAGCTTTGATTAGGATGTAGCTAAGACTTGGCTATCTCCCTGTTTTGTGTTTTGGATGGGTGATATTTTAAAACTGCCAACATTAAAATCCTGCTAATTTGCTTTGTACAGTTTAAAATGTTTGATATCTTTTATTGTTTAAAGTTTGAGATTGGTTTTGAATATCCGGTTTTCCTACATCTTGAAGAAGGATATGTTTGTTTACTCTGAAGTGGTCTAGTTCTGTTTTTCTGTTTTACTATACTTTGCAAAAAAACAGATGGCTGGCTTACGTTCATTGTTGTAGTGCACTACCTAGCATCACTCAGCCTTCCTGTTGTCAAGGTGTAGGAAGCAGCGTAAGGGATGTTGGACCTTAGGACCCCCAATTGCTAGCTCTGGTCCTGGTTCCAGATTGCATGGAAATATTTGGTAACATTCTTGCACTGAGCTATCATGGTCTGAATATTTATGTGAAGCTCTACGAGTGGTACCAAAATGTTAGTGATGGAATTTTCACTGATGGCACCTTTTCCTGTTTTTAAATTCTAGAATCTTAATAAATCCCAAGTGTACATTTTGGTAATGATTTCATTTAGCTATTTACTTTAACTCTTTTAAAGCATTAACTCTGCACTAATTTTGACTTATGAAAAGATTCAGCAGTAAGAATAAAAACTGGGCCAAAGCCCAAAGTAATAATCCTTCACAAATAGGATGGAGTTTTAAAAATATGGGCATCCTGTGTGTAGCTTTGAAAATAACCAAAGTACTTAGAATTAAAAAGTTAGGTGAACATAAAAATTGTCATAACCAAATCCTTGACAGCTTGATGGATGAAGAGCAGATGAGTTTACACTGTATGGCAGGAGGCATGGATTTTAGGAGGGACAGCAACAGAGAGGGATGTTTAGAAAGTGAATAAGACACATAGCTCTTTGGAAAATAAGGAAAGTCCCTTTATTAGAACAAGGCATGAAATTCTGCCACTAGGTGGCGATGCCCCATAACTTTACAACTTAGGGTACATCACACCAGCACTATGGAAGATTTCTCCATTCTGCACCCCACCAACTCCCTCCCCTCCTTCATTTTTCAGGATGACAACACCTTAGAGGTTTATGGCCATCAGGAGAATTTACTACTAAGCTATATACTGATGTAATGAAATCTAATATATGTTGTGCAATGAATTATGAGATGTTATTTAGTTTCAGGATTTTATTACTTCAATCAGTTATGACCATATTTCCTTTTATATGATTGCACACTCTTTAAACATACCAGATGACTGTATAAGGAACACCTAATAAAGTCTATAGATGTTAAAATATTTTAAATGTTTTAATTTATATGCCATAATTTGTTTACATTCTGGTTATACTGGTGTTCATATTAAAAGCCATAACATGTTAGAATCTGAGATCTCAGGTCGGATAGTGCCTCTAAGTTATATTTTACTAAGAAATTTTATTGTATTAGCAATTGAGCAAGGAAGAAGAACTGAATCGTTATAAGGTGGTTAATTTTTAGCATAGATGTCAGAAAGCCTGTTCATATTCCAGAGGCTTATGATAAACTAAATTGTCATTCTGGATTCTGATTATATCTCCTACAGAGAAAGAGTGTATTATTTCTTGAACTTTTTATTTGAATACATGTGCCTATTTTTGCATGCATGTAAAAATGTAATTTTAAAATAAACCCCTGAAAACTTCTGGTAACATTATCCAGTTGAATAATTGTTCTGTTAGTATTCTAAATATTTTAAGAAAATTTTATACATATCTATGACAATTGTATTCACAAGCCAAACCAAAAAACGATAATTATTTGTTTTACAAAGGAGTCAGCTTACAATTTATCTCTTATGCGTGCATTTAAAATGTGGTCTGCCACTAAGCTGGAAAGACTGATCTGAGGCCAATGATTTAGGCAAGTCATTAGTCTAAAGACTGGCTTCCTCAGCTATAAAATGAAAGGCTTTGACTAAAAAGTCTTTAAGACTCATTTCAGTACCAAAACATTCTGGGTCTGTGATTTAACTTAACGCACTTTATTGTTGGGATGAACTAATACTGATGGAATACTAGCTTTGTACTAGGCACTGTTCGTATGTTGTCTCTTTTAATCCTCCCTGCAACCTTCTGGCATCGCTATAATTATGCCCATTGTATGGAAGAAGATATTGGGTTTTGAAAGTACATTTTATGTTTGTTCATTATATAGTTTTGTGGGTTATTTTAAATTGATGTATGTGTTTATATTCCAGGCTAGGCAGAAGATAGGTAGAATATAGCAGCCTCATCACTGTTGAACTCTGGGGCTAGATAATTCTTGTTGTGGGGGCCTCCTCTGTATGTTATAGGATATTTAGCAGCATGCCTGGCTTCTACACAGTAGATATCAGTAACACCACCCGCCTCCAATTGTAACAACCAAAAATGTTTTGAGACATTGTCTGGAAATGTCCCCTGGGGGAGCAGAATTGCCCCCAGCTAAAAACCACCAGTGTAGGGAATACAGAGAAAAACCGAGATGGTAGAGACAGGTATGCAATCAGATACATGAAAATGTAAATATATATGTACATACTGTGTGAATTGTCCACAAAAAACATGTACTGGCTACTATGGAAACATGGAGACGGTAAATTAACTCAACCTGGATGGGAATCAGGGCCTCCGATAATGTGGCTGATTCCAGAAGAGTAAGCAAAGTTAGCCAAGCCAAGAAGGGGGTGAAGGGCTTTCCAAGCAGAAGAAAATGAGCCGGAAATGCTCCAAGGCATGGAGGGGCAGGGCGGATGTCTAGGTAAGGACAGGCAGTTTTGCACTGATGGAGTAGCAAATGTCAGCTGGAGAGTCATGGGAGATGAAACTTGAGAGATGAACGCCATATTGAGATGCCTGGACTTCATCCTGTGAGCAGCAGAGTGTTTGGATAGATTCTGGGAAGTGAAAATGTTGGGGCAAAGGGGATGAATATTTGAAGTTTTTCAATACTGGACTTCCAATTTGCTTTTCAAAAGTTTATAATAATTTATATTCATCTAAGCAATCACGAGGGTCCCTTTATTGCATTCCTGCCTGCACTGAGTGCTCTCATTAAAAACAATCTTTGTGAATTCGGTTGGAGAGTTTCTTGTTTAAACTTGCATTTCTTGGATTGAGTAGCTAGACTTTTTTCCATATGCTATGATCAAGTTGTTATTTCTCTTTCATCAGTCTTGTTCATGTCCTTCGCCTATGGGCCTATTTTTACTTTTCACAGCCTTTTCCTTATTTGTTCAGTTTTCCTCGTAGCTCCCTCTTCGCCCTTCCCAAACCTGGGTCAGTTCTTATCTATTTGTATGAGGACTTTATATGTTTAGATAAATTTTTACTTAAATTTGCTGAAATGATATTTTTATTTCATTGTTTGAATTTTATTTGAGGTTTTTTGGATGCCTTTTCAACTTGGTTCATGGTGGGTTTTGTCAAATGGAGGTCTCTGATTTTTATGTAGCACAAATTCTCAGTCCTCTCCTTTGTGGTTTTACCTCTGAGGTCATGCTTTGAGAAGTCCTCTCTTTACTCCAAGGTTTCATAAATATCCAGCAAGGTTTTCATCCAGTACTTTTAGGTATAAGAAACAAAAACATAAATCTTCAATCCCTGTGGAGTTTAGGTATACGGTGTGAGCAGAGTATATTTTTGAGAGATATTAGAAGGTCCAGTTGGCCAGACTGGATGGCAGTTAGATGTTTAGGAGGTGGATGTGAGGAAGGGTAAAAGAGAGAGGTCCAGAGGGGCTCCACCAACGGGGGTCTGTTAAGGGTGATGCAGCCTGGTAATCAGCCCCTTCTGTGGGCTTGTCATTCTGTGAGATGTTGGCTGTGCTGCGTATTCCAAATCTACTGTTGTCCCTTCTGGATTCAGCTCTGTACCCCAGGAGAGATAAACTGATGTAAAGACTGCACAAACAGACACTTTTGCCTTCTTGCTTCTGGCTTGGTCTTGGCCAGCCAGTGTGGGGGAGGGTGACCACCTGCAAGAGAGGGCAGATGAGAGAGACAGGGATGTTTATTCCCCAGCCCACGTTCCTCTGAAGAAAGCTACAACTCCTGTCAGGCAGCCCCTCTCAAGATTCCTACAGCTCTCCCTTCCATCCCTCCCCACTGTGCTGTCCCTATCAAAGTTGGTTCTCCTTGACCTTGCCTGCCCTTCGTTAATTGTCCCTTCACTGGACTTTCTTTGGTTTGCCTGACTGGGTGCGCCACACTTTCCTGCCGGGACCCTGATTCACACAGAACTGGGCTGCCCTTGAGAATGGCTGGGTTGCCCCATGAGAGAACCAAGTGCTGCCACTTGGAACTGGTTTGTGGTTTGTTCCTGGAAAACCAAAGCTTGCTTCTTTGTGGTTAGCTAACTCATGCCCCAGAGTCAGACTCCAGGAGACCACACTAGTTCCTGTTGAAGGGAGTGGCCTTCCAAAGCCTGGCTTCTACCACCCCCACCTGTCTGCCTCTACCCATGATAGATCTGCTTCCAATCAGAGATTTACTCTTCTACACAATGTAATGCAGGTAAATGCCAGTGCTAAAAAGATGCCATATGATAGAAAACAGAAGGTATGTCCATTCTGAAAACATTGTGTTCTCTTTCCTCCTGTTTTAACTCCCTCTTCCCCAAATGCATTCTGCAAAATTCTACCTCCAGCCTTTGTTCGTTCTATTCTCAGTCCCCTGCAATGCCACTTGCAATCCTCACCATGCTCTCTGTTTGTCTAAATTCTAGATTTACTCTAAGACAAAAATTAAATTCTGCCTACTGGGACAAGCTCTGTCATCCCCAGGCACTTGATATTTCTGTTTTCTTTGACTTAGTAAAGCACTTACTGCTTCAACCAATCATTTCTTATTTAACAATAATGAATACTAGTTACCTAGTGTTCACTGTGGGCCATTTTAGGTTTTGTCTATTCCTTGAAAATTTTTCCAAGGTGAGTACAATTTTCCTCTTTACAGAGAGGTTCAGAGATGCTAGGTAATGGGTTCAAGATCACACTTTGCAAGTGAGCAAATGGAAACTTAAATTCTGTCTTCCTTGAAATTGCTATGTTGTCTCTTCTTTTTTATTTAAGGTGTACAGCACAGTGTTTTGATATACATATATGTAGTGAAATGATTACTACAGGCAAGCAAATTAAAATATCCATTACCACAATAGTTACTTTGTGTGTATGTGTGTCTGGTGAGCACCTAAAATCTATACTTTTAGCAAATTTTCAGTTTACAATATAATTAATTACAGTCACTATGCCGTACATGAGATCTCTAGACCTGTTTATCTTATATAATTGCAAATTTATATCCTTTGACCTGCCTCTCCCTGTTTCCTGATCCTCCCCACTCTGGAAACCACCGTTCTTCTCTGTTTCTATGTATCTGACGTGTTTTAGATTGCACAAATAAGTAAGATCACGCAGTATTTCCCTTTCTGTGTCTGGCTTATTTCACTTAGCATAATGTCTTCCAGGTCATCCATGTTGTCACAAATGGCAGTATCTTATTATTTTAAGGCTTAATAACATACCATTGTGTGTGTGTCTGTGTGTGTGTGTGAGAGAGACGGTTTTTTCATTCATTCATCTGTTGGCAGACGCTGGTTGTTTCCATATCTTTACTATTGTGAATGATACTGCATTGAACATGTGGGCACAGATACCTTCTGAGATGGTGGTTTCATTTTTTGGAAGCATATATCCAGAACTGGGATTGCTGGATTGCGTGGTAGTTCTACTTTTAATTTTCTGAGGAATGTCCATACTGTTTTCCATAATGGCTGTGTGCATCTACATTCCCCCCAGCAGTGTGCAAGGGTTGTCTTTTCTCTACACCCTCACCAACACTTGTTATCTCCTGTCTTTTTCATAGTAGTTATCCTCATAGGTGTAAGAGAATATTTCATCGTGGTTTTAATTTGCATTTCCCTGGTGATTAGTGATATTGAGCACCTTTTTACCTACCTCTTGGCCATTTTCATGTCTTCTTTAGGAAGATGTCTATTCAGGTTGTTTGCCCATGCTTTAATCAGGTTATTTTATTTTTTATTTGGCTTTTCAACAATGCTGTCCCACTCTTACCCTTATTTTTACAAATTCAATTCCATTTTGTACTCATCTTCTGTTTATACTTTTCTTTCTAAACTCTATTTCTTAAATGAAATCTTTAGTTGTGAAAGTAGAGTGATCATGCTGTCTCTGAGGAGATGACATTTGAACGTTGGAGAGGAGCCATCACAGGAAGCCCTGGTTCTTTAGGTGGGCTGTGCAGAGAATCACCTGGGAAGC